TCTGGTTCAGACACTCTCTTCTCTGGCAAGTGAGTGCAAAGGTGGGGGGGACCTAGGCCCACCCATTACTCTGAGCCATGATCCAAGGACCTTTAGTGGCAGTCGCCTACTGCCCTCCTCCATGTTTCTCTACTGCCTGCTTTCGCTGGGCCTTTTCTCCATAGTCGCACCCACTCAGCCCCTGTATCAAGGCTTTCAGTCTGGCAGTGGTCAGCCAGGAACTCCCTCTGCCCTGCTATCATGCCCAGCACTGCTCTATCTAGTGTCTCCCCAGACAGCCAGTCCTTCTCCCTTGCTGGTCAGGGAGACACTGATCTTCTCTTCTCTGCTGAGCAGCCCTGTGAGGGAGTGAAGAGAGGAGGGCCTGGCCGCACAGGGGTTAAACAAAGCCTTTTGGCCCAGCTAGCCCCGCCCCGCTTTACCTGTAGCCAAGGCCAGACCTGGAGGGAGGATAAAAGGAAGAAGCCTGGCTCAGTTAGGGGCTGACCAGCAAGGAGACAGGAGTGTGGTTTCACAGTCTGCAGGACATGGCCACTTGGCCAGCCACAGAAGGATGTAAGCCTCCAACCCCATCCTCTGCAACAAAGGGGGGAGCCTGCTAGAAACCCCAACTAAGGGGGGAATCTGGACTATACTAATATAATGGGCTGGAGTTCCTAGGCTGGGGACACTAGCAGTAGGGTTCAGCACTCTTTTCTGCTGGCTAATTTGGTGACCTAACCACTAGGCCACCCTGCCATCAGGGAGACTCGGCCACAAGCATATATATATTATATATGAGACTTTCCAATAAGCTCTTTCCTGATTGGCTCTTAAAAAGCCCTCTTCTTATGGGTCTGAAGTTCTGCACAGACCTGCTAAGGCTACTTTTCCCCTCTTCTCACTGTGTAGGGTAGCTGCCCCACTGCAGCACAAATATAATTTGTGTCCAAGTGGCCACTATTTTTTGTCTCACTTAAAATGTTAACACCCAAAAACAACCTTCCCTGACACCAGTGTTTGGGGGGAGGGGGGGAGAGAGGAGGAGGAGGAAGATGGCTACCCACAACTGCCCTCCTGCTGCCACACTTTCACAACCTGAGCATTTTAAGAGGTCCAAATCCTACTCAGCCCATTTAAAACCACTGGAACACAATTCCACAGTGCACAGTTCCTATATGATACTTCCCGTGGAAATGATGAATATAACAATAGCTTGGTTAATCTTGCAGATGAAATTTAAATGCAGTATTGCCTAAAACTGGACCAGGACTTGAGACTTAGATTCCATTCATTTTTCTGCCTCTGGTCTCTGCATAACCTGGGCATGTTATTTTTTCACTTGCTGCTTCAATGTCTTCAGCTGTAAAATGGGTATAATGATATTGACCTCCTCTGAGCACGGATAAAAAGCACTGTTCAACAGATACATGTTTCCATTATCTTAGCAAGAAAGAATGCTGATAGCTAACCTATGGGGAAGGGCATTCTCTGTCTCAGTCTGTGGATTTTGAGAGAGAGATTCCCTGTGACAGGATCAGAGCTAACAAAACCATATTAATTTTATCCAGGATACTCCTGCATGGATCATGTATTTCATGCAGTAAAAGACAATCTATTCTACTATTTCAAATCCAGAAAGTACTTTCATGATCCAATGCTGCTACAACTCCTTGAACGAACCAAAGCAAAACTCATGTGACTATGTCATGACACCAGGTTTGCTACACTTTGGGCTTGAATAATTGCTGCTATCACTAAACTTCGCACATGAATGTTTTAAACGGTGTCCCCTCTCATTCTGCTCCCATACTTCAAGGACCGAGCTGATAATTATAGGAGATGCTCTTTTGAAGGTCACTGCAGGAATAACCAATCCCTATATTTAAAAGTCTCAGAGGGATAGCCGTGTTAGTCTGTAACTTTAAAAGCAACTTTTTAAAAAAAGAACAAAAAGTCCAGTGGCGCTTTAAAGACTAACGAAAATATATGTATAGTATCATGAGCTTTTGTGGGCAAAACCACTAAAAGATCATTTCATCTGAAGAAGTGGGCTTTGCCCATGAAAGCTCATGATATAATACATATATTTTGTTAGTCTCTAAGATGCCTCCGGACTACTCATTGTTTTCTTTTATAAAGCTGTTTTACAGTCACTATATTTCCACCCCAGAATTGTTTAACAAATTCTTACTTCAGTAATTACAAGTGAATCCCTGAATTACAAACTTATCTATGAAAAAACAACGAATGGTCCTGCAACACCTCAGACACTAACAAAAAATGTAGATAGTGTCACGAACTTATTTATGGTTCAACTAGAGGGGCCCTCTTAAGCGCAGGAAATGTTTTTATACAGTTGCCAATTCGGCCTTTCTTCTCTCAAACTAGTGGGTCCCTTGTCCTTCAAATGCAGTCTCAACAACTTATTACCAGCAGCTGGAGTCCTATAGTCTCCCAAGAATTAGTCTCTGGCATCTTGAGAATCCACTCCTACCAGCTCCTGCTAAGTCCCAGAAATCCCCACTTATAGCCAGCATATCTCAATTCTCCCTTCCAAAGTTCCTCACCCAATTGCTGCAGTTTGAACCAAGATTCCATGAGAGCTCCTAGAAACCAAATGAGCCTTGACAAAAGTTATCAGAAGTTAAATTATGGTCATGTTCAACCAGGTCTTACTTCCCACAATCCCATACATAAACCTGATCAAGTCAATACATTACTTAATACCAATTCACTCTTTCAAGGGGGGGGCAGGAAGGAGGGATCATAAGATACACTTGTCTAACTTTGTTTCAGGGTTCAACTTTTTAAACAGGTACCCCAGGCCTGCACAACTGTAGTACCTGTTCACAATAAATGTGGACAGTTAGACTACACTTTTTATTCTTAATTTTCCAATGGTGACCCAAAATTCTATTCCATGATAAGTTCTGTGAACTAATCTGCTCCAGTTGTTCATCACTCACCCATCATCACAACGTATGTTCACTTTTGCACCGTATTGGTTATTTGTTGTCTCAACAAGTCTGCCATGTTCTGGGCTTTTTGGAACACCACACAATTTTGCTAGTAGAGAACACAATTAATATTAGCATGTTATGATGTTCTAACCCATCTCCCCCCACTATAGAAGAGAATAGGACAATATCAGACCAGTGATCTAAGCAGTTCTACATTGTGTCTCTTTTTAATTCTATTTCATTTAACTCTGAATATTCTATCCACATTTACTGTCTAATCATACTGCTTTATCAACTTCAGTGGCAGAGATACACATTACTGCTGAAAAGTTACTTGTGATGCTCTCTAGCTAGCTGAGGAAACTTATTGCCATAAAGAACACACAACAGAAATTCAGTACCTCCCTGTGCAGATCATAACATGACTTGTTCAGGCAGCCACAAAGAAAGATGCAAGGAACACTTCAAATTACACTGGTAAATATCTCAGCCCGGATACACAAAAAGGTTTTTTACACATAAAACCACATGGCCTATTATATACATCAAATATTTTCTTCATATTTGTGTTGAAAGCTACACAAGAAATCTCCATAGTATTATATTCCGTTTGACAAACAATAAGTCACAATGTAATACAAAGATGTGAGGAGACAGTTGGCTAGGTCTTCTAACCCTATATTCATAATGTTGGGTTTTGTACTGAATTTAACATAGGCAGGGTTGAATAAAATTACAGTCTTCTTCCAGTGAAACCCAGTTTTGTCTTTATGTTTAGAGCCTCTCAGTTCTGCGGATATCCACTTTCTATCTGTGGGTATCCGCAGATATCAATGCGGATATCTGCAGCTCATTTTTACAGATACAGATGCGGATGAGGATACAAACTTTGTATTTGTCCAGGGATGTATTAATGTTATTATGTATTCTGGTATCTGAAGAGCATTGCCCAACATCTTGTTACTGAATACTGTACTGGATTTAGTTTTAATACTATGATTCAGTTTGGTTGAACTATATACTGCATTACCATAAATAAGCGAATGTAACCCATGGGTTATACCCATTTTTACACCCCCCCCCCCTCGCGGGGTATACATGTTTGTGTCTTATACAAGTTGGTTTTTACTCCTTGGAATCCCCCTGGGAGCATCAGTTCCCCTAAGCGGCTCTACCTGCCCCCCCCCCCATTAAAACTGGGTCAGCTCCGCTGCAGGGTGGCAGAGAGGGCCTAGTGAGCCTCCAGTGCGCCTGCGCCACGCTTTCCATTCCCCCTGCCCGGAGGAAGGCGGGTGGAGCCTGGCTGCGGCTGCGCAGGGCTGGCCTGGGTGTGAGCGCAGCTCCTCTCCCGCAGGCCGGCCGGCTCACTGGCAGCAGGATGGCCGTCACCTTGTGTATGCTCCCTACGCTGGGTGGCTACCTTCTCACCTCGGTGCTGCTGCTTAAGAGCCAGGGGCTGCTGCACCAGCCCACGTCTCCCACCATGACATCAAAGACCACCTTTTATGAAGGCGGCAGAAGTCTCTGTGGGTTATATACGTCCATGGGTAATTAATTTTTTTTAACACATGACAGAAAAACCACAGGTAATACACAAGTGTGTGTTATACATGGACGCAGGTTATATTCGCTAATTTACGGTTGTTGTTTCTGAGGGTAGAATTTTTCAATCTGTGAAATTTAACAAAAATACAATAATATTATTTAGTCTACTTCACATATAGTTTTCAGGGATACAGTGCTTACCATTTTAAAAAGGACATTTACCACAGCATAGTATTAACTTTCCTGCATTATTTGTGATATTCTACTTTTGTTATGGATTCAGGAATGGAAACCATCATGTCCACAATGAGAAGTTTAGCTACAGGAAGTACTGACTGTTTAATGGTACCCACTTTGCTTTCCTACTATCATTTGAGGTTCAGTTGATAATCATGGACAACAACATTGACAAGTCACAGAAGCTAGTGCTGAAATGTGAACTAGCTGCTTAACAGAAGTCAAGTCTTAAGTGCCCAGAGATGGCTAGTAACTCAACAGAGACAGAAAAGTAACACAAGATACTCACTTGTACAAAACTCAGGGGCTTTAGACCACGTTAAATCATCAAGACAGGTAAGGAAATGATTCTGGTCAGTACTCTGATAACCTGGCCGACAGTCATATCTCACAGTGGTCCCAACGGGATAGTAACTCTTCCTCAAATCCTCATCAGATAACACTGCAGACCTGAACCTCGTCGGGACAAGGCAGCTGCCTAGCAACAAAGCAAACAAAACAAAAACTGAAATAGTTGATTCTAAAACCAAGTCAAATAAAATCTGTACTTCTAATTTTCTCTTTATACATAACACACACAAACACACACACCCTCCCACCACTAAGCGTGCATGCTGCTGTAACACAAATAAAGGGTGCCTAACCGATGCCCAGCCAAAAAGTTTATTAGCTGGTGGCATAAGCTGTAGGGGTACAGAATGGTGCCTGATCATTGTACCCGAGACAGGTCATAAAATGTGTCCCTATGGAAGGGGGAAATTAATTTATTTCAGGAAGAGAGGCAAACAGCTTTGGCAAAGTCACTGGGGCTATTCCAAGCACAGGAAATGGAAGCAGAGAAAGGAAGGTATAGGTGGAGTACAGTGTAAAGACAGACAAGGAATGACTTCCCTTCTCCCCTTCATTTCCAAACAAACTGATGATTCTGTTTACAGTTGATGCTACATGGATTTCTCTCTCAACTCTAAGCCTTAGGCCCTTTGAACAGTGGGAATCCATGCTCAACTCTTGCAGAAGTGTCCAGCATTTTCCTTGTTCAGTTCTAGAACTACTGTTCTATTTTCATCCTTCCTGTCCTCCCTGATCTGAAGATGACAGCCAAGAATATGGATGGCCGTTTTTTGGTTTGTTCATTCCATCCTCTCACTGTTTGCTTGTTATTTCTCCAATCTCATATCCTGGGGTCCAGTTTGACAGACCCTCTAAATACCGCTTCAGCAAGTGATTGGTTGGGTGTGTAAGAAGAAGGGGTGGGCTGAGGAGAGAATCTCATCTTTCCATGCTCTTGCTCTCACAGTTTTGGGGGCTATATTTATCTGCATCACTCTCAAATCTCCCTTTTGGATTCCTAGCCAGTGGCTTAACCTATGCCTGCCAAAAGAAAACTGAGCTGTTGTTCCTTCCCAAACCTTGCCCCGGTCAACACTTGTAGTCACAACTAAGAAATAGCACCACTCCACCTGCTGCTTAGTGGCCATGTGGCCAACACTTCTGACTCAAATTTTTCAGTGAATTCCCTCATCTTGGGTGTCTCCAAATTATGGGCCCTCCCATTTGTCCCTTCTTCAACATCCAGCATTTCTTTGGCCAGACTGCCCATAGGCCCTTCCAGCCTCTTCTCTGGAGTTGGCACTAAATTGGTGAGAGCAGTTTTGTTAGATCTACTCAATGGGGCCTGAGTTGGTATTTCATAAGCAAAAGGTAGCCTCAGCAAGTTGGTTCCAAATGAAATAAAATACTTACGGCCACAAAACTCTTGTAAGTTGGACCATTGAGAGTTTGAAAGGCAAATTGTGGAGTCCGGCTTTCCTGGGATTTTAACGTAGTTATCAACGCACTTGTACTGCACTTGTGTGTTGATTGGGAAGCGCTCTGTCGGCTGAGTTCTAAACGGGATGGCATGATTCAACTTTGGCAGGGCCCCACACTGGCCTGTAAGACAACCAAATTCACGTTAACATGAGGGGTTTATTTTAAATAATGCCGTACCCCTGCTGTCTTGAGCTGTAAACGCTCTTGATGTGCCTTAGTGCCTTCAGGGACCTTCCACAAGTCAGGTGAGCTTCAGATGAGGTGTACGCTTGTGCTCCTCAATAGCCTGTGAGAACAGACCTGCTTAAGTGAAGACGTCAGTAGAAGGCCTAGGGCCCATTAAGAGAAATTTGGGCTCAGCCCATCATGGCTGTTGGGGTCGACCCCTCCTCTTTCATGCCTGTTTCTGAAGTTTGGGGAGGGTCCTGTGCTGGTACAAATACCCCTCTCCATCCCCTCATCAGACCTGGGACCCTCTGAAGGCCCTAGTGGCAACCTGGGCTAATCCAAGGGCCAAAATGCACCCTGCCCCCGGAGGGTGACTTCCTGTGCCATCCCACAGAGAGCCTGGGTGGGTATCATCCACAGTCCCCAGACTGTGGGGAGCCCGTACCCAGTGTGCTGGGATCTTGGCCCCTCGGGTCCTGGCACTGGCACCCTTGCCTTGGACACTCACCGCAAGCCCTCGGTGGCAGCAGCGCCACGAGCCCCAGGAGCCAGAGTGGGCAGCAGTGGCCCGGTCTTGCCACAGCAACAAACGCCATGGAAGGCCTGATCCACCAAGCTGAGACGGAGCTGCCGCCAGGCAAGCGATGGGGTGGGGCGACTTCACAGAGCTCCGCTGCAGGACGTGGAGGGAGGAGGAGAGGAGCCCAGCCGGCAGGCAGAGCCCTTTCCCGGCCAGTGCGTTCTGTGCGATGCTGCCTGGGAGCGGTGGCACTGAGCTTTGCCCAGCTCTCTCCTTCACCAGCGGAACTTCAGTGCAGTCCAAGCTCCAAGTCTTTGTGCTTGTAAGTGACGCATCATGCCAGGACCCTCCCCCGCCCAGCGCTGGGTCACTGTGTCTTTGGAATGTGGACGAGGTTTCATTTGTCCTGACGGTAGGCAGACACACCTCATTCTTGAGCTGATAACTTAAGGGTGTGTATGCTGGGGGAGGAAGGGGAAGAATGCTCTAGTAGGGCAGACAAGCCGGGCCATAAAACAATACAGCCAAGTTCACAAAAGAGAATTCCATGCGGAAAATGTGCACCAGTCACTGAGCATGACAGAGCTGATCTTTAGCCTCCCCCCTGCTTCGTGCCTGTTGTTTCTTTTATGTCTGAGTTTGGCAGTCTCTGAGCAGTGAGGCTGTTCAACACAGCACAGGATCAGACTCTCTGGGCTTGTCAGTACTAGAAAGTTGTACTCCTTTCACTGTAGTAGTAGAGCTAATGTTATACAATCCCATGGACCATGGCCTCAGCAATAATCAGGGAAATGCATGTAGCAGTCCAGTGAGTCTTGTAGGGGCAAGAGAATAAGTCACAGAAGTCACTGTTCAACCACTGTCACGACATCCAGAGTCAGGCCTTTTACAATACAGATTTTTTTAAAGTGAAAATCTCTTCCTGAACAGAAATAGTTATACAGGTAGTGCTTTTAAGTGTACACAAGCCCGTAGCCGAACATTCACCATTGTTTGAACCAATCCTTTCATGGTTGTCCACTCACTAAGTGGCCCATCAAACTGATTCCTATTGTAAAACGTAATGGAAAGTGTACTGTAAATACACAGAAGCTTCAGAGGGTAGCCGAGTTAGTCTGTGCAGGATAAACTTAAAAAACACCAAACGGTCTGGTAGCACTTGATAGACTAACAAAACTTGTAGATGGTATCATGAGCTTTTGTGGGCACAGTCCACTTCTTCAGATGACTGGAGTTTTGAGTTTAGGATATGCAGACCAAAAATAAATAAGGGAGGGGGGGAGTGGAAAACAAGGAGAACAGGTTATGAAAATATCAAAGGGAAAAACAGGAAGGCAGAACAGGCAATCAGTAAGCATCTGAAGATTGGATAGTTAAAATGAAGCAGATAAGGATCAAAGTCAATAGATAGGAAGGGTACTAACTCAAGAATCTACACAACGAGCTGTTTGCACCTTTATTGAATGTTAGGTTGGTAATGTCTCAGCCATCCCTCATCCGGAGTGAGGCCATTAGCATGAGAATTGAATTTGGGGATGAATTGTAATTCCAACACTTCTCTGTGTATTTGGCTGGTAGAGTTTGTTTGTGTCAAGACAGCCACCCAAAGGAAATAAGCAACACAATTACCCTGTAGTCAGACTTTCACCAGACAGCAATTAGCAACAGACTGAACACAATGGGGAAATACAATGTAAAATATAAGCCCATGCAAGTCAGTTCAGGAAATAATTACATGTTAAATGGAAAACAAACAAACCCTACGAGGAAGCGATGAGTGTGCTGTACGTAGTTGCATGCAAATTACTTCGGCAGAAACAAAATCACATCAGCACAAGCTAAGCTATGAAGCATGTGGCATGGAAATGTGAAAGTTCCATATATTTGTATTAATGTTATTTGGTGCATTGTAAGGTGCAAAACAAACAGACACACAGATAAATGGAGAGAGGAAATATATCGCTTGATATAATTTTACACTGTAATTATCTTCTGGGCAGCCAATTCTTATGCCATTGTAAGTGACTTCAAGGATTCAATTTAACTAATTACTAAGAGCAAGTACAGTTAAATTCCATTACTGGGCTCAGTTTGAAAAAGAAAGATCTATATCGGTGTTCTTCCTGAAGGAGCCTATAGATGATACACTTAATATTCCACATTTAGGAGTCTATTAAAATGCCCATTTATGAAGTGCAGCCTCTGCTAGCATGGCAGATAACATCTGGGGAACAGTTCATAACACACTGCAGTATAATAAGCCAAGAAGAAAAAGACTTTAAAACCAACAAAATCCAAATTGCAAAGACAGATGCAAGGATCACATTTGATCACTCTATGGAGGTGTGTACTGCTAAAAGTGACTTAACATTTCACTGCAGACTTATTCTCAACCACTCAGAAGACACAGCAACAGTCCATATGCTACCTGTGCCAGAAATGAGTAATGCTGTTTTTCTGCCACGGAGATACATTTTGTAATCATTTAAGCCAGTTAGTCAAATGCCCTCGTTACATGAGATGCAGTGCAGCAGTCCACAAACCTGGTGTTGCACCTGCCTTCTTGGGTTGTTCTGCACCTACCAGGGAACTGGGGTTAATCCTGATGGCGCTTGTGTGGAGTGGAGAGCTTTCAGCACCCTGCAGGATTGTGCATATGGAGACACTGCATCAGAAATCCTGTTCCAGAGAGTCTCAGGGCCCAGGTCAGCCTGTCTCTCTCACCCTCCCCTATCCTAGTGTCTCTGAGCCCAAACGCCTACAATGCAAATTAATAGCCCCACAGCCTACATCCAAAACAACTGACCTGGGGCAGTCACAGGTGCACCGAGGGTCTTTGATACCCCTCCCCCAATGCAGCTGCCTTTGGGTAGCAAAGTAACTCCTGGTTAACAGCAACTTTACATCACAATTTTAAGGCAGGACAGAAGCCACCCAAGTGAATGCTTTTATTCTTGCGGGAAGAGACTTGGGGTTTGTAATGGCCATCAGCAGTTATTTTACCTCTCCACTGAAACACAGCGCCACTGACAAGATGCTAGGATTCAGGTGCTACAACCCAAGGGAACAGCGCCACCTACTGAAGCACTAGCAATATGCCTTTCAGCAAATATTTTCTCCAGGTCCCCCAACAAAGCCATGACCCAGATCCAGCACTGTGTCCTTCATGGGGTCTGAGTAGTTTATAGATGGCATTGTCACAGACACTACAGAGAATGAATCAAACAACTGTGCTATTTACTGCAAACTTCTGCAGAGCTTTCATCAGATTACTGGGGCATACATTTTCCCCAATTATTAACCAGACGAAATCTGAATGCTATTCAGAAAGGTACAGATGGCACAAGTAACCTTTAATACTAAAAATATATGAGAAAAATGTATTTTTATACAAATACACAAGAACCTTATTTGATTTACTGAATTTAACCAGCTAGCTAATTTGCTTCACTAATGATAAGCTAAAAACATTGTGTATACATGCAAATAAAATCTGGCTTCATTAAAAGTCAATGTATTTCACTTTCCTGGTTCTAAGTTGAGCCCGGTGTGTTTAAAGCCGAAACATGAACAGCAATGATAGCCTGCTCCTTTCAATAGGATAATCGCCATAGCAACAGGTCTGTTTTGCACAAACAAGTAGGGAACCGTACAGTAGGAACTCTTCGAAGAAGCTGTCAGTGTCACCATAGTGGTAGCGTAGCTATGGGTGAGTCATGGCCCGCCCACCCACATAGCATCCACGTCCATGCAAATCAGGGATGGAGGTCCCCGAATCCACAGGCTGGGACTCCTGACCCTGGCTGGGTGTCCATCGGTCTGGCCTCATTGCTCTCCTGCATGTGCCGTGGTGCTGCTGTCCACGGGGTGGGGAGGGGAGGGCCTCAAGGGGCAGGTCTGGGTGGGGCTAGTGCTGTGGCCAGAAACTGGGGAGCAACATGTAGCATTGGCAGGAGGGGGATGAGGCAGCCTGGCAGAGCCCCCCTTGACCTCATGGGTGCACCTCACAGTCTGGGTGCCCCAGGTGCCTGCTGAGCAGTAAGAGGGGTTGGGGGGGCAAGTCCCCATCCCTCCTGCTCCCTTTGGCCACAGCACCGGATCCTTCCTACCTCCATCCAGCCTCCATAAGGCACCGGATTCCTCCTGCACAGCTGATCCTTCCTGCCCCCATTTTTTTCTGCCACCCCCACAGGGCCCTTCATCCCTTCCCTCTTGCCCCAATCATTGCCTGTCCCCCTTAAAACAGGGGCCCACCACTTTTCCTATCCTAGCTATATAGCACCATAATGCTCTTCAGGAGTCTTTGACAGGAAATAGCCCTCAAATGCCCCATGATCTCCATCCTCCAGTAGAAGAAGTTATTATACACGAGGACTATGTCCATGTCATGCAATTCTCACTGTAACACTTGCACATGGTCTGTTGGCTACTATAACCATGCACTAAAGACCAAGCCCTATTGGTGCTAATTAACAATTGTTTTGAGGACTCTGAAGGAACGCAGACAGCCAGTGAATTGGAGCCTTTTCCCTTGGAGAGTGGGGTTTAGGATCTAGAGCAATGTGACTATAAGGGAGTTTCATCCGTTCCTATTTATGCAACTCACTAAGCCACTGCAACACTTAGCAGGGCAGGCAATTTCTGCATCCAAAAGTACCTGGATTCAACTAGATAAGAGAATCTCTGACAAGAATCGCCTTTTATGTTGCCCAAGCTGATGAGTGAAAGGAGGGACTAATTGTTAACTCACAGGCTATGTATACATTGCTCCCATTTTGTGCAAAAAATATGCAAATGAGGAAGCACAGAACATTGCCACACCTCACTTGCATAATTAATGAGGCTCCATTTTTGCACAAGAGGCTTTTGCGTAAGAACCCCCTCTTGTACAAGAGCCATTCTTCCTGAAAAAAATGCAGAACGTCTCTTGTGCAACAACAGAGCCACATTAATTATGCAAATGAGACAGTGATATTCCGTGCTTTGTCTCATTTGCACATTTTTTGCGCAAAACAGGAGGGCTGTGTCTACACTGGCATGAATTTCCAGAACTGCTTAAAACGGAATACTATTCCGTTTTCAGTTTTTCCGGAAAAGGAGCATCTACAGTGGCAGGCTGCTTTTCCGGAAAAGCGTCTGTGGCCAATGTAGACGTGCTTTTCCGGAAAAGACTCTTGGGCTGTCTACACTGGCCCTTTTCCGGAACAGTGTTCCGGAAGAAGGACTTATGCCCGAGCGGGAGCAGAATAGTTTTTCCGGAATAGCGGCTGATTTTGTACAGTAGAGCATTGTTGCTTTTCCGGAAATTCAAGGGCCAGTGTAGACAGCTCGCAGCTTATTCCAGAAAAGCGGCTGATTTTCCGGAATAAGTGGCCCAGTATAGACATAGCCGAGCAGTGTAGACATAGCCCATGAGTGTAAACTAGATAGAATTGACAAAGCTATCCAGTAACTCCTGCCAGGAACACAGGGGGAGTCGGGGCTGACAAAACTGAGTGGGCAAGTGTGCACTATATTTACCTTTAGCTGCCTCTGCTTAGTTCTAGTCTTGCCTCACTTTTGCAAGCATTCCATTGACTTGAACAAACACAAAGCGGGATGTTTATTACAGCAGGCGGGAAATTCTACGAAGTTCCTCCTGCTGCGAGGAGGTATTTTGCCATTTTTTGGTGTCAATTCATAAGCAAGTATATACTTAACTGTTGCCTTAATACTTTACAACACAACAGCTGGAGCACACAGGTGAACAAGTAAATTACCTTTCCTATCAGAGCAAGTGTACATGCTAAGATTGTGAACCTCCCTGTACTAAAGGTGCCACTTCAAGGCTGAATTAACCACATAGAAAACCACCCAGGGGCTGGTCTTTAATGATTCCAGTAACACACAAAAGCAGCTGAAAAACTGAAATGCCAAAATCCAACAACCCCACAACTATGGTGTCTGAGCTGATCACTCCTGAGAAAAGCTTCAGTTCTGGACTTGGCAGAAACTCTGCACATGTGTCTGTGCTTGGATACGGTAAATGGAATGACTTAATTTAGAAGGGGAGAGGCACAGGCGTTGTCCAGGAAACTGTAAGTCATGTTAGTTTTGGCAGAAGGTGAAAATGGGGAGGGATGAGAACGTCCCTGAGTAATGTGGTGATGCAGAAGTTTGACCTTAGGAGGAGATAGACTCCAAAGTACAGTGTAAAGAAAGGATCTTTTCCATTCGCCTGTTGGTGTAAACTAGCCCTCTCCTATGAAGTCAGTTATGCCCTCTTCAGGCAGGTGGGAATGTTGTCTTGTATTCACAAGATGGGAGGAGAGGTCATTATAAACAGCCTGCCTAGCTCTCAGTGGGAAATGCCTATTCTCATCATTTCACCCAACACCTGCTCCTCAGCCAGCCAAACAGTTACCAGAACTTGCTTTTCATTACCTCCTGAGAAAAGGCAGGCAAGGGAGCCTGTATTCTCCAGCATCCTTGTCCTACAGTCCACCTTAGTCTGCCGAAGTCCTGGGGGATGGGGGAGGCGACCATGGCAGAACTGCATGGTGAGCCGGCCCTTTCTGGCTCATTTGTACATTTTAAATGAAGCAGTGCTGGTTTTTCACACTTTCTTTTGCTTGGTCAGTTTTAATTCTAGACCCTGTTGCCCCCTCATCCATTCCCTCTAACTCCAGCACCACAGCAGATATGGCAGCAGGAAAGACTTCTATCTTCTTCCCCTTTGGCAAGGGCTGTGCACAAAAGAGGACAACAAGGCTATGTCTACACTGACCACGCATGCATAAGAAAATATGCAAATGAGGCCTACAGGTGAATATTGCTGCACCTCATTTGCATACCTAATGAGCCACCATTTTTGCAGAAGGGGCATTTGCAGAAGAAGGAGCTGTCTACACTGCTTCTTCTTGTGCAAAACCCCCCACTTGCACAGGAGCCGTTCTTCCTGGAAATAAGTGGGAAAACGGCTCTTGCACAAGCAGGGGGGTTTTGCGCAAGAAAGGGCAGTGTAGACAGCTCCTTCTTGCACAAAAGCGCCTTCTGCAAAAATGGCAGCCGATTAGGTTCACAAATGAGGCACAGCGATATTCATCACCGTGCCTCATTTGCATATTTTCTTGTGCAAGGCTGGCCAGTGTAGATGTAGCCCAACAGTATTACACAGTCCTGGGCTTCCTGCTGCAGTCTGAGCCCTGTGTGGTGTCTTGCATAGAACAGGTGCCCTATGAACATTAGTGGAATTAAGCCTTGTACACAGAAGAGGGTTGAGGCTTGGCTAACTTATTACAGCATTATGGAAATTAGAACTGAAGTTACCACAGCAGCTCATGTTCTCTCAAGGAAAACAAGCTGACATTTGAAGCCAGACAGATGTTGTTTGAAAACTGCTATAAATGCCAGCTATGGTCATACCAAGCATAGCTCCTCATGAGCTATTAGACTCCCACTTATGCCTTCAGTGGAACAAGGAGTGGTTCTCTCCTTTTAAGTATAAGCTGATACTCAGAGCAAGCCAGGACCAGCCCGCAACATTTTGGCACCTGAGGTGGGGAGCTCAAATGACACCCTCATACCCCCTTCGCTTGGACCAAAACTTTGCAAGGTCTCACTTCTGCCTTCTTCCTGTTCTACTCCTCTCATGGTACTTCTGCTACCTACATATGCACCAGCAGCAGACACAATTGTCTACTCTCTGGGTCCTAGTGGCACCCCCCTGCAGTCTGGCACCTGAGGCGGCTGCCTCAGTTCACCTGATGGTAAAGCCAGCCCATCACTAAGCAGTTTACAAAATACTGTCTATGGAAGTGATCTACAAAATTTGTCTTTCTGGAATTAATGTTAGAACTTCGTCTCCCATTCTTTCCCCCTTATTTTAAGCACAGGCAGAATAGGGTATCAAACGGAAGTCAGACAATATAAGTGACATAGGAAAACAAAAGTCAGTGGAGTCTTGCCTTGTGTCAGGAAGAGCTCTTTGTTGCAAGTCAGTCATTGTCCAGAGTCAGCCCTGACTAGGATGTGTTTCTGGCTTGTGTGTGACCCCACCCTGTGAAAGTCTCAATTTCCACAAGTAGAGAGTCACTGCCTAGAGAGGTCATGAATAAATAAAAGAATCTTCTGTTTACATCAGAAGTTGCAGAGGAGGAAAAGTACTCAAAACCCTGTTCTTATACTTCAGTTCCCTGTACAATCATCTTGGCATAGGCGACAGCCTCCTCCAAGTCCATCCAAAGTTAAATGTAAAACAGAAAACCTGAAGAAATTAAAAGAAACTTTTAAAAAAGCGTTACCCAGGGCTTTTCAAACAGAACACTCTGGTAACTTAACTTGTTTTTCTTCGTGTGCTCCAGGCACAATATTTGCCTATATGCAAAGGCAATAGGTTTAGAGCATCCCAAACAGTTGCCCCAAGTATGAGACTGTCTCAAGTGATCAACAGCTGTGGGGGGTGCACCTTCCATCCAACTGTTTCGGAGAAGATAAGTCTCTGCCCACAGAAAACCTCTGTTCAGCTACTCCAAAGTGTATTATTTTAAAGTTTTATTGCTAATTCTTAGTGACTCCTGTTCACCATAATCACTAGTGGAGCACCAATTCCCCCAGCTTCGGCAAATTGCTCATGATCCCTTATCAGCAAAGCATTTCTTGTCAAAATTAAACTTGTCAGGGGCACTCAAAACCAAGGTTACCCATCCCCACTCTTCCTCTCATTCTCATGCTTCATTAGCTGTTCCTTCTTCCCCTTTGGATTAGCAAAACTACAAACATGCAGCTGTTGGGATGCTGAGAGGAAAGGCCAGTTACTGTTCTCTATATGGTATCTGCTTTTTAGCCTGGACACAAAACTGCTGCAGTCATGTCAAGTAGCCTTCTCCTATAAACACCACCTCTGTTTGGATTTTAATTCTACTAGGCTACATCTACATTGTGCTCTCTTGTGTAAGAACATATGCAAATGAGGCACAGTGATGAATATCGCCACCTAATTTGCATACTTAATGAGCCACCATTTTGCACAATGGGCTTTTGCCAAGAAGGCACAGTGTACACTTGCCTCATTAAGCTCATTTGCATATGTTCTTGCTCAAGAAAGCGCAATGTAGACATAGCCCTACTGTTACTTGTAGTCTAACTCATTAAGGATGACATTAGTAAAGACAGCTCAATACTTGCTTAATTTACTTCAGCATTTTGTAGCTGTCCCCTTTCCCCAACAACCAGAGAAACAAACAGATGCAGGACAAAGAAATCCCACAGATAATCAGATTGGAAAAGGGACTCCAGATCCATATAATTCAAATTGCCCCCTCCCTTTTTTTTTGGCACCTTCCTTCCCCATTGGCTTGATTTAAATACACCCATCCTTATCACCCAGCCAAGGATCCTAAATTTGTTTTGCTCTTACTAAACCTTTCCCTGGCATTATGGGCAAACAATTATTTTAGCATCATAGAAATTCCAGTATCTTACAGTGGGTTTTTACAATGATGGAAATATCGGTTTGAGGTGGAGAAAGTGAAAAATGAAAAATTAAAGTTTACAAAAAGGTTTTATTTCCTTACCAAGATAATGGCTATTCTCAGCACAGAAAAAAAATTAAAGTCAACTGAAATATATATATTATATAAAAACTAATCAGTTAACAGAGGCCAGGAATAATCCATACCTACAGAAACATCACTTATTGTCTTAGATTATACCAAATACTAGTAGTAAGAGTACAGGATTGATGAGGCAACTGTGATTGGACTCCCAGATAATCTAACATTGAAGGCAGGCAGGTTTTTCCAGGCTCTTTCAAATTTCAGACATGAAGTCAAATGTGTTCTGATTAGACAAGTCCTTCGTAAAAGCGTCATTGCTTCATCAGAATAGGTTTGCATCATTCTCCTGCAGTCTTCAGGGTTCTCGCTTACATTTCTAGTCTCCACTATACAAAGGCTATGCTGTCCCGTTTACCAGAAGATGACTAAGCCCATCCCAACTTCCACATGGAGGTGCAGCAGCCACTGCAAATAAGCATTAAATAGGTAACACTGGAATAGTGTCATCACAAATCAAAAGTTTGTGCATGTGACTAATGTGTCAAATAGACCTTTAGGGGTACAGTCTGTCATTTCTGTAGTATTCATATAGCACCTAGAATAAAAGGTCCCAACCTGGTTGTTACCCTGAGGTGCTACTGCAATTTAAAAATGTCAAACAAGGTTTATTTTGGGGGAATTGCAGCACAGTATTCTAGGCCTAGGTCTACACTAAACTAGGCAGGTTGGCTCAAGGTACGCCATTCAACTACACAAAATGCATAACTGGGTTCGGCTTACCTGAAGCCAAGCCACTGCAGCAACATCTACACTGCAGGAAGTCAATGGAAGCATTGGCTTCCGTCAATGCTTTGGCTCCCATTTGCTTCCCTCACTCTTCACAGAATGAGGAGTACAGGCCGCTGGTGGGGTCAGCCTTTGACTGGGAGGAGAGGGGTCTACACTAGACCAGCTAAATCGAATGCTAGAAGATCGACCCCAGGAGGGTCAATTTTCTCCATAGTGTACACATGCCCTGGTTGCGTTTTGACCCTAAGATTAGTAGCAGGGAAAGGAGAAAACATCCAGTAACAAAACCTATGCCAGAAAAAGATCCATTTCAAACAAAGGTTTAGGTGTGTATCAAAATTCAGTTGGAGTCAATCCAGTTTCCTAAGTATAGGGCATGGGGTCACACCATCAGCAATTGGGTCACACACCCATGTGCACTGGACAACTTTTAGCTCTACAAAGAGAAAATACAAAATAAATAAATACATACATATATAAAATAAGTCACATCCGCTATGCTGTCTGGGATTGCTGGAAGCAAAACGGGGTCATGAAGACAAAATAGTTTTGGAACCACAAAATTAACTCAGTGCTTTTTCCTTTCACTTGGATTTCCATTCGTTACAAAGTTTACGGACACAAATTTCCTGGAGCAGTACACACGCCTTTTAGTATTAAGTGTAAATAGAACCATATGGCAAATCTGGGTTCTATAAATTCAGGCAAAGCCACGGTTTCATACTAACAAATCTGCATAACAGAGTGGCAAATGTGTTAGATGCAGAGTTTGCCCACTATACAACACAAGTGGTAGTAGGTTTTAGAACATTCAGACCTACAATTCCATTAGTTCTTTGTGGCTGGGATCAAAACATCTGAAGCTGCTCCTCTAGGCAGGGCTAAAAATATATTCCCTCTCAGAAAATCTATTGAAGCTGCTCCTGTCTGGTTATGTTTACTCAGGGAATTTACTTTCACATCTATAAAGTGCTTTTGGGTAATGAATAAGGATCATTCAGAAGATGTGGAGGGAACAAAACAAACAAAATCAAAAACAAAAAACCAAGAAGTCCTAACATCCTCCTGGGCATAGAGCAATATTAAAGAACATCCCCCTCCCCCTCCAATCCTTTAAAGTCTGGATATTGATATTTCCAGATTGGAATAGTAGCTGGGCTAGGCTGGGCTAGGCTAGGCTTTCTAAAGGAGACACATATTCAAGTGGGGACCTATGATCTCAAGTCTGACCTACGCTAAGAATTTCCATCAGCATAGCTACTTGCAGGTGTGTGGATTTCTCACACCACAGGGACAACTATGCTGACCTAACTCCTGGTGGAGTTAGTGGTAGGCTGACAGAAGAATTCTCCTGATGATGTGATTAGCTCTTCTCTGGGATGTGGATTTCCTATGTGGATGGGAGAAACTATCACCATAAGTAGCAGTTCTGCTAGAGGGGTGTTAGAGGGGATTTGAGCCACGTAACTGTAGCAAATTTATGTAGTGGAGTCATGCCCTGGTCTGAAATGTCTCTTGGAATGTTAATGGAAGAAAAAAAATGCAGGCACTAGGAAAGGCAGAAGGTCTCCCAAGCAAAGCTAATTATGTTGGATGGGCTGTTCTGTAAAGCTTAAGTTTCCAACAATGCCTGCTTTTTAAAAATAAGATTTAGATCTTAATCTTAAAACCCCGCCACAAACATAAAACCAATTTCTTCACATTTAGGTGCATGCCTAGTAGAAGGGACAGATACTAAATGCTACTCACCTTTGGATTCAGGGGCAGGCCAGCTCCAGAGTATATTTGTTTTTGTATGGTACAATAAACAGTTGTCTGTCCAAAGAAAGAGATAGTGTCACATCTACATTTCTGCAGAGGCAAGACTTTCTACACTTCTTCCCTCTATGCCATTAGGGTTATCAGGAGTCTAAAGTAAAGAGAATTAGAACATTAAAAAAAAAATCACACAATTCAAGTTCAAGATTAACAGGAAACCTTTCAAGTAGTTTGATCCAAAATTCCAGGAGTTCATAGCAATTTGTTAGGATAATGAGCACTGTAATGTAGCGAGCTGAGGCATTACCTCTGTCAAGTTTGGCCCCATGCTCTCCCCAGCACTCCTCAGATGTCAGCCTGGCAGCACAAACTTTGAGACGCTGCCACAAAGTACATCCCCACCCTTACGCGAGTTAGAGCAGTACAGCTGGTTGATCCTTGAGGGACAGCACTGAGTTCCATGCTGCTGGAACCTATCAGGAGTTAAGCAAGAAGTTTCCCAGTTGCATAGTTTATTTTAGACCAGGCTATGTATTTTTTGGATACTCCTCAAGAAAGGTCCAGAAGATTTTAACTTTATGGAAAGCTCCCTATGAAGAGAGGTTTCTTAATTCCAAAGGAACTTCAGATTTTGAAGCTGCAGTCAGCATTACAAGGAGGGACTTTACCCATAAGGCACACTACTAGCCTTTCACTCCTACTTCTAACCTCTCCTCCAAATTAAAGACATCATCTTTGGGCACCAGCTCATTTCAAAGCCTTAACAAAAGTTGCACAGGGGCAAGTATCTTATTCTACACACCTTTTATGTGCACACATTTAGTTAAAAAAAAAAAAAAGTCTTATTCACTTGTACCTGAATAAAGACCATCACATCTATCTGCTTTCTTGATTACTTATCCAACAGTCACAAAATCTGGGTTCTATTTCTGGCCATAAAAAGTAAGTGTCACCTACCAGCACTAGCATGACCAGAGTGTATTACATACCGGCAAAACCCCTATCATTCTATGGACCTCAGTGGACCTATGACTGTTGATTTCAGCTCAAGATTGGTCCCCATCAGCTTTGGAATCCCTTTTAGTATCTCTCGTTTCCTACTACAAACCAACAAGATTCTCCATCATCAGTTTAAACTCGAGTCTCTATTGGTTGTACTGGCTAGATCATATAATCCTCCCATCCAGCCAAATTTTTAGCCGTCTAAACTTCAGCAGGCACATAATCCTGGAACTCTGCACTAACCCCTGGGACAGAGCTGGGTTCTCTTGTTTGAGGTGTGGAGGGCTGGGAATCAGAGCCCAACTTAGGTTCAAGTTCAGTTTCAAAGTTCTGACTATGAGGAGTTAGTTTTGTAGCAGGGACCCAGAGTAGATTGGAGATTATTCTTTGATGCTCAGTTTCCAGAGTCAGCCAGCAGCTTTAAGTCATGTGCCAGAGCCTGATACTCACCCTTCCTCATGGGTGAAACACACTCTTGCACCGAATTGGAAATCGGCTATAGCAGCAGCTCTGCCAAGCGTTTGTTCTCCTGGATAGCCAGGATCTCTCTAGGACAGAACAAAATTATTAGGCATTGCCTCATTGCCATGGAGAAACAAGGTTTTGATATAGACAGTATAAAAGTCGCTTGCTTTTAGATATGGTATTAAGAGGGTCATTCAGGCTCTCTTATTGATCAAGGAGACATGAAATGAAATGAAAGCAAAACATTTAAAACAAAGGTTTCAAGATGTTCAGATCAATGCAGCCTGGACTGAACTAAGCTGGCTTCTGAAGAGCAAACTATATTAATTGCACAAAGACACCTTGCAGATCGACTGAGACAGAAAAAAAAAAAAAAAGACTCACTTCCACATAATGATGGGACTTCTGACCATTTAAAGTTGTTAAAGCACGTGGCGCTGGGTAATACTCCAGAGATTCCCATGTAACTTTGTCGGCAAATAGAACTTCCCTTGTTATCCTCAAAACAATAGTTCTGATCCTTGTACAGTGGCATGACAAACCTGAACCGTGGCAGAGGAGCCCACCTACCTAAAATAAAGAAACACGTGTGATAGCTGAAAGCTTTAAGCTGTGGTATGGTAATTCACCTCCTCCCATTAGTCTGCCAACGTCCCACTTGGTAATGGCACAAGACTCACCTACTACCCTCCGATCCCCTCTAAGGAATGAGGAAGAACGAGAGGAAGTGATGGTCACAGGCGTCTTTTGGAATGTTGAATGACTATGTGTTTTGGGTTGTGGTTTGGGTTGTGTTGGTAACTTAGCCACCTCTGGAAAAAAAAAAGCCCCCCCAAGATAACTGGTTCAGTACAAGAACCTGAGCAGAATAAAATGGATTAAAATGCTATGTTTAACCTTTGCCCCGTTTAAGCTGGGGTATGGTAATTCACTTCCTCCCTTTAGTCTGCCAACGTCCCATTTGGTAATGGCACAAGACTCACCTACTACACTCTCATCCCCTCTAAGGAATGAGAAAGAACGAAAGGAAGTGATCGTCACAGGCGTCTTTTGGAATGTTGAATGACTATGTGTTTTGGGTTGTGGTTTGGGTTGTGTTGGTAACTTAGCCACCTCTGGAAAAAAAAAAAAGCCCCCCCAAGATAACTTGTTCAGTACAAGAACCTGAGTAGAGTAAAATGGATTAAAATGTTTAACCTTTGCCTCGTTTTGACAGTTACAACAATAAAACAAATACGATGTCTGACCAAAGTGGTAGGACAAAATTGGGGAACCTTCGGCAAGCTGGCTGGACGTGGTTTGTCATGGTTAGTCAATGGTAGGCCGCCAGATACTCTTCTCCCCAGTGTACAAAATGGCCACAGGTCACTGTTCCCAGCCAATGGGAGCTGCGTCAAGAGGTGGCCCAGCCAACGCTGTTTCTTGCAGCTCCCATTGGCCCGGAATAGAGAACAGTGGCCACTGGGAACCGCGAGCAGCCATGCCGGTGGCCATTCAGGTACACAAAACGTCTGGCAGCCCACTAGCAACTGAACCCAACTAACCATGTCCAGCCTGTGGTCAGAGATTCCCCACCCCGGTTGTAGGATTTAAAATCAAACAAATTCCCAGATAAAACAATTACCACCAAATCATACTTGCCTTTGGACCATAGTTGAGATCAGATAAAATGAAGAATATACTGTTCTGCTGTAGGTGTAAGCTGTCAACACTAACATCTTCAATGCAGTTATGATAAGTTATACCAGCTAAGTTTCTGTCCCAAAGCAAATGCCTTCTCTTAAACTGTTCAAACCTGTCAGTGCACTTACTAACCTTCTATTGTTCTGAATCTATTTCTCAGTGTATTACTGACTTCAGATAATTTCTGTTAAACCCTCATCTTATGCTCAAAACTGTCCATTTAGTAGGCTACCAGAAATTACAGCTGTAGTAAGTGCATGGGAACCGGCATGCGCGCACCACCAGTAAACAGGGCGTACAGCTGAAATCTACTCACCATGGGCGAGTAGATTCTATAGTTTGTTGAGTCCTGCTTATTTTATGTTCTCTTTTACAATGAATGGAGGTTGCACCAACAAGCTGAAACCCAGGGTCACATCTATAAATTACTGTTGTGTATTAGACAGGATTTTTGACACCTTTGCCATCACATGTCCCATTGGCAATGTCAGGAGGGGCAGAACAAGTCATCACTGCAGGAAATACAAGGCCATCAGTATGAATATTTGCAGTATTCTTGTGGCTGTGACACTCAAGGTAGGAGACACACAAGGTGGGTGAGGCAATATTGAGAGATCCATGTAGCACAAGGACAAGTTTCTGAACAGACATTTCAAGCAATTGCTTGAGATTAAGAGATTGCCTCAGCAACCTGGTCTCATTAATACTAATGAAAATTTCAGTTACAAGTGTAAACATTGACCAAACAAAGTTTATCCAAAGTCTCCAAAAGAAAAATATTTAGCCATCTGAAAATTTAGTTAGTTTTTAACCAAAATACAAGATTTAGTGGATGGCAAATGTTGGATTAGTTTTACCTTGGCAAGTTGGAAGTTCACTCCATTCAACTTCATCTCCCTTAAGTATACACTGGATGAAAGATTGGCCAATTAACTTGTATCTAAACACAAAGTGGAAAACCCCCCCCCCACAAAAATTTTAGTTTTTTGATTGCTTGTATAACTATTCGGGAATATGGATTCTTTCAGTTTATAGGTGATTACATAAAACCTGAGTAAAGCCTTGTTACTGGTGGAGTTCAAAACCTTGTTGAGATTGATGGTTGTCAATTAATGAGTTCTTGCTGTAATTGTACATCACAATGCCCTAATTAAATGTTGGGATCTTGTGAACCCACTCAGGAGTTTTACATTGTGTCAGATGAAGTTTTTTCTGAGAGATTTTGAGGGTGTTTGTGGTGTCTGTTAGGAGTCACACAGCAGAACAAAACCAGAGAGACTGAGATAAATCCAAGCAGAACTTTTAAGCACAGCGTGACACTAAAGGATATTTAGAGGTTTTGGTCAATAGTGCTTGATGAGGAAAAACCAGGGCATATGAGCTTAAAAAACCCTACTCTTTTGTCTTTGGTGTCCTCTGCATGTGAAGCAGCAGCATTTCCTACACACCTTGCAAATAAGCAAGGCTGCATCAAAACATCAATTTGTACTCTGAACTGGAACACTCCCAAGGCACTAAAGTTTGACTGGCCACTTAGGGTATGTCTACACTTGCAACCCAGTTCTAACTAGGGATGCAAATGCAGGCATTCGAAATTGCTAATGAAGCGGGCATTTAAATATCCTGCGCTTCATTCGCATGATCTCGCTGGCGCACTAGTTCAAATCACAGCTGATTCGAACCAGGAAGCGCCCTCTGGGACGCATTAGTTCAAACCAAACCCCTTGGTTTGAACTAACGTTACTCCTCATTTTTTGTAGGAAGCATCTCGGCAGGTGCTTCCTGGTTCGAATCAGCTGTGATTTGAACTAGTGCGCCAGCGAGATCATGCGAATGAAGCGCAGGATATTTAAATCCCTGCTTCATTAGCAATTTCGAATGCCTGCATTTGCATCCCTAGTTAGAACTGGGTTGCAAGTGTAGACATACCCTCAGTCAAAAATGGGACAACAGACTAAGACCGACCATACCTGCTATGATGGAACCAGCATGCAAAGTGCACGAGCAGTAAGAGGCAATTTAAGTAAGCAAATCTGTAGCTACTTCATGCTCTCAGCAAGCTTAACAGGTCTACACTAAACCAGACACTTGGGAACAATCTTTAATCTTCTGGCCAACAAACCAGTAGATCCTCTCCTCTGTAACTCACACATTGTAGTGACTCTTTCTTCTTCCACTCTAGGAAGAGTCCCTACACCAGTCCTAGTTACTCAATGTGATGTCCTCAGAGGGCTAGTGATTTTATAGACCATCTGCCTGTTCAGAACGCTGTCATGGTGTAAGAGGGACTTGCTTCCTGCAAGCCAACAGGTGCTCTCGTGGTTCTGTTCTGGGGCCCAGTTCTGAAATGAAACAACTTGGCACTCTACAACCTAGGGAACTGCGTGTGTGTGTGTGTGTGTGTGTGTGTGTGTGTGTGTGTGTGTGTGTGTGTGTGTATAAAAAATAAATAAATAACAGTCAAGTATTCATAACACACTCCACCCTCAAAGTCAGTAGTTCAGCTGAAGGATCTCTAGATACCTCTCAGGCCACCACTGGGGAGGCAAGAGGGGAATTTTTCTCCCCAGCCTCCTATTGAAGAGGGCCCCCAAACAGAGAGGTATTGCCATCTCGGTATCCTATGTTGCAATGCTACTCACTAAAATTTTGAGCCCACGATCAGATTATGACAGAGGGGCAGCAAGTGTCCATGCTCACCAGTATTGAAACCGCGTGTGCCAGGTCTCCATGCCCTGAGTGGGTCACAGTCTGACTGTACAGGAGCCACTGCACGGGGATATGTACACTGTAGACTCATTCCCCCCCATCCCAAAAGTAATATTATGGGAAATCGTGGGGTGGGGGCACTGGGAGCGAAGTGGAGGGAACCTCCATTCCAAATTTTTCCTCAGGCCCTCCAACATCTGTGCAGCCCGAGTTACCTCTCCTCTGTCACTGGAGGTTGTATGATGATTAAAAGCAGCTTGCCAACAAGTTACTGGATGGGATATACAGCCACACAGCCATCCCTGCCTTCTTCCCTCTAGCACAACAGGCTAAGGCTAGGTCTGCATGACAGGAACTACAGCAACCTAACTCTGCCTGCATCATCCTGTCCTGTACATGCAGCCTACAACATTTTCTCATCACTGTCGGAACATCACCTGCAAGGGGGACACTAGCTAGGGTTACTGAAATGTTCTTTTGGGATTGCATTTATGTCATGCATAGCCATGATGCTAAGGTATGCGTACACCCTGAATGTCAATCTATATTATGCAAGGTGCTTAAGGTTAATAGGAAAGATACACCCAAAAATAGTTTTGATACAGAGCTTTTTTCCATTTCATAACAAGAGATATTATCCAGTTCTCCAAGCCTGATTAAGGTTTACAGTCTATAGTAATTATTTTTAAGGCTTGTAAAACTTAAACAACTATGTTAACTGCTTGAAGTGGACAATAAACAAGAAAGTGATTAAGTCTCTCTGGAATGTCCTGGTTTCCCTCAGATCTAAAATAAATTGAATCACATGACACAAATGACACCCCTTCCCCAGGCTGCAGATGCAGCACACTACCCCCCCCCCCTTTGCCAGATGTTTAAGGGAGCCCAGGCATTCTTCTGCATTTAGCCAGCAGCTGCGCACCAAAGTTCTATGAATTAACAACTAGAGGCCTCCTGACACTCACCCTTCTTCACAGACGAACTGTATTTTGTCACCAAACAGGTATTTTGTTCCTTGAACAGCTCTGCCATTGAGTAGCTCTCCTGGAAGACCACACGATTTCCCTAACAGAGAACAGGGCTTGGATTAGCATCATTTTGCCTTATGAAATAAAATACTCATGGCCACAAAACTCCTGGAGAGCTGACCATTCTGAGTTCCGAAGGCACACAGCAGTGTCCAACATCCCAGGGATTTTAATGAAGCTGTTATCAGGTGTGTCAACAGGGAAACTTTCCATCTGACTGATAACAGGGATGGCACAAGTCAAATTGGGTGGGGGCCCACAGTCACCTGGGGAGCAAACGCAAGCTGTTTTAACAGACTGCATTTATTCTAGTAGCAGCATTCCGCATCAGAAAGCCCCTAATCACACCAGGGAGGTTACTGCGATTTGTCAGCCCCACCCACTGTAGGGCTTGAGCCAGGAGCAGAAGACATGGCCTTCAATAATAGCCACACGGCCGGGGAGCATAAGGGACTTCAGAAGCTGCAAGGTTCAACTCTCCCATGTACTTCGCCCACTGAGAGAAGCCTGGGAAGAGGCGCTAAACATCAGGCTGAGCTCCCTGTGGGAAGGGGTACAGGGGGACCCAGGATGGGCAGAGATGGTGCCCCTATCCTCGGTCTGTCAGAGGCTGGGAATGGGCAACAGAGGAGGGAATCACATGATGATTAGCTGTTCTGTTCATTCCCTCTGGGGTGCCTGGCATCGAAGACAGAATATTGAGTTAGATGGACTTTTGGTCTGACAATATGATGGTGGTTCTTATGTTCTTACCTGCAACCAGGATGGGGGGGGGGGAGAGGGGGTGAGAGGTGCGATGAGAGAACAAAGCAGGGCCCCATGTATGGAACAGGAAGGAGGGAGCCACTTTTAACACCACTCCCTTGCAGCCACTACTCTGCAGCCCTGCCCAGCAGCTGTCTGAGAGCCAGGGCAGGAGGAGGATGGAGCTCAGAGGCAGCTTCCACTCCCCACCTGACCTACAGCTACTTGGCTGATAACTACACCGCCCAAGTCCTAGACCTGTATGAGCCTTAAAGTGAGGAAGGTAAACTGAACCAGCTGATGCTGGTGAGAAACAAGCAGTGGAGATGCCCAAAGCTCTTCCTCTAGTCTGTAGAGGCAGAACAGATTAGCGTTCAAGTCTAAGCTGTCAGCACTAGCGCCTTCAATGAAGTTATGATAAATTAATCCCAGCTAAGCCTCTGTCCGAAAGCAAATGCCTTCCTGTTCAATCCTGTCAGTGCACTGACCAACCTTCTATTGTTCCAAACCCATTTCTCTGTACATTATTGACCTTAGATCACACCTGCTAAACTCTCTTGTATTCTTCACCCACCTTCTTATGCTCAAAACCATCCATTTAGTATGCTACCAGAAAGTACAGCTGGAGTGAGTGCATGGGAGCAAGGGCCAAGTTCTCCCTCAAAATGTTACAGAAGTGTTACCACTACCATTTTTTAAAAAATGACAAGTTAGACCATGAAGATAATGACCGACAATTTAGTGTCCGGTGTGAAACTGTGGAATCATCTTTAAACAATGTGAAGTTTTTGCCCAACTCAACTGAGAGAGTACCACTCGTCTCTTCTTTCAATTGGATTCTAGCATTTGATTTGAGTAGAGGAAATGATGAGAAAAAACATTTAAAGTGTTACATGATTCTTATACTTCAGTTACTTTTGCCTAGTTTGACTTCATGCAAAAAAGTAGCACAAAACACATTCATCACCGTTGCATTCAGGAGCAGGTCCACTCCAGTTTCCACTTTTTTTATCTTCTGTTTTACAATGAATGGAGGAAGCACCCACAAGCTGGAACCCAGGGTCACATCTGTAAGTTACTGTTGTGTTAATGACAGGATTTTCTACATCTTTGCCATCATGAGTTCCATTGGCAATGTCAGGAGGGGTGGAACAAGTCATCACTGCAGGAAAACAGAAGGCTGTGAATATTGATGTTTGAAGTATCGTTGTAGCTGTGTTACTTCCAAGATAGGAGGCAATATTGAGAGTTGTTTGAAAGTTTCTCTTTCTGCTACACACAACAGAAAGTGGCCCAGAAAGAGATTACCTCTCCAACCTGGTCTCACTAATATTAATAAAGTTTCAGTTACAAGGGCAAACATTTGCAAACAAAAAGTATATCCAATGTCCCTAAAAGAAAAATATTTAGCCACCTGAAAAATTAGCTAGTTTATAAACAAACCTGAGGTTTAGCATATGGTAAAGACTGAATTAGTTTTACCTTGGCAAGTTGGAAGTTTACTCCATTCAACTTTGTCTCCACTTACTATACATTGGATGAAAGTCCGGCCAATTAACTTGTACCTAAACACAAGACGGAAACAAAAAAAAGTTTCAATTTCTTGATTGCTTATGCAAAATGCAGGACAATGTAGCACTTTAAAGACTAACAAGATGGTTTATTAGATGATGAGCTTTCGTGGGCCAGACCCACTTCCTCAGATCAAATAGTGGAAGAAAATAGTCACAACCATATATACCAAAGGATACAATTTAAAAAAATGAACACATATGAAAAGGACAAATCACATCTCAGAACAGGAGGGGGATGCAACCGCATCTGCTCTAATCCCACTGACAGAGACCAGAAGCTTCAGGATCTCTACCAAGCATTTATAAACCTCAACTACCCACCCGGAGAAATAAAAAAGCAAATTGAAAGAGCCAGACGAATACCTAGAAACCATCTACTTCAAGACAGACCCAAGAAAACCAACAATAGAACACCACTTGTCATCACCTACAGCCCCCAACTTAAACCTGTCCAACACATTATCAATAAACTACAACCTATACTGGAACAGGATACCATACTCCAAGAGGCTCTGGGAGACAGACCCATAGTCTCCTATAGACAACCACCTAACCTCAAGATGATTCTTACCAACAACCACAGGACATACCACACTAATACCACCCCTGGTACCTTCCCTTGCAACAAACCCCGTTGCCAGCTTTGTCCACATATTCATTCTGCTGATACCATTATTGGACCTAACCAAGTGAGTTATAAGATCAAGAACACATATTCCTGCGCATCCAGAAATATAATCTATGCTATCATGTGCCGAAAGTGTCCATCTGCTATGTACATTGGACAAACATCTCAGACACTTCGCCAAAGGATTAATGCCCACAAAACAGATATCAGACAAGATCACAAAGAAAAACCAGTTTCTTGCCATTTTAACCAGAAAGGACACTCTCTCAATGACTTAACCACCTGCATTCTTCTACAAAGACCTTTTACATCTGCACTTGAAAGGGAATCCTCTGAACTGTCATTCATGTTAAAATTCGACACTCTCCCAAAAGGAATGAACACACACTTGAACTATCTTACCCATTATCAAGATAGCTTCCCCAGTTATCACCTCTAATACCATTAACTCACAAACATCCCACTCTCCCCACCTCTAATATCATCAATTCACAGACACTTACCTTCCTTCCTTTCCCCCCACCCCTGCATCCCCCTCCTGTTCTGCAATGTGATTTGTCCTTTTCATATGTGTTCATTTTTTTAAATTGTATCCTTTGGTATATGGTTGTGACTATTTTCTTCCACTATTTGATCTGAGGAAGTGGGTCTGGCCCACGAAAGCTCATCATCTAATAAACCATCTTGTTAGTCTTTAAAGTGCTACATTGTCCTGCATTTTGCTTCAGCTACCCCCAGACTAACACGGCTACATTTCTATCACTATTCTTGATTGCTTATGTTACTGTTCAGCTTGCAAGTGGTGACATATGTCCAGAATGAATCCTTGTTACTAGTTGAGTTAAAAAAACATTGTTGAGATTGACGGTTGTCAATTAATGGCTGTCAATTGACATTGTCAATATTGACAGTTGTTAATATAATTATGACAAGTGCATCACAATCCCCCAGCTAAAAATTGGGATCATGTGACCACACTTGGGAGTTTTGCACTATGTTGGAGGAACATTTTGGTGAGAGATTTTGAGGGTGTTAGGAGGATTTGAGGGTGTCTGCCAGGAGTCCCAAGTCAGAACAAAACCAGGGATACTGAAACAGAAGCTTCTATTTGGATTTAAGCACAGTTTGACCCTAAGGGATACTTAGGGGTTTGGGTCAATAGCGCTGGATGAGGAGAAACCAGGGCATATAAGCTAAAACTCCTCCTTCACCTTTGATTTCTCCTGCATTTGAAGCAGCAGCATTTCCTACATGCTTTGCAAATAAGCAAGGCTGCATCAAAATATCAATTTCTACTCTGAACAGGAACTTCCCTGGGGCGCTGAAGTTTGGCTAGCCACTTAGTCAGAAAGGGGTAAGAAACTGAGCAAGACCATCCCTGCTGTGAAAGAATGTCATCTGACGAAGTGGGTGTTTGCCCACAAAAGCTTATGCTCCAATATGTGCCACAAGACTTCTCCTTGTTTATGTTACAGATTGACAGTAAGCATGCTTGATATACTATTCTACATGCTTGATACACTATTCTACATGCTTGATACAAGCTCTATTATTGGAATTCAAGTTGCCTTTCAAACTACATCGCCCATGTGGTACTTAAAAAGAAATAAAATAAAATGAGAGAGTCAGGACACTAATCCAAACTTTGTTATTTACTAAAACTCATGTTTGGTTAAAATCATTGTATATCGACTTAATTTTCTCGACACCTACTGTATCTTGGCATACTTTCTGTTATAAATAAAAGCTTAAAAACATGTGCCAATTTGAATTTGGGATAAAAGATATACTTGGGCCCAGAGTCACATCCTGGGTCCACTCTACAAAATGACGGGCATCTCACAAATATTGCAACCAAGAACTGTTGTTTCCACCAGAGCCAAGCCACTGAGAATTTACCTCACCACCTAGTGGCTAACTCCATCTGAAATTTGCATTTTATGATTCCGTTGAATCCCAGCTGCCTGTCAGCTACAGAATCCCAGGCCTGGTTTTATATTTGATAGAGACCCACTAAATAACCCATCTGGACAGGACTGGTGTTCCCTGAACTCCTCTGGGTGCAAAAACTAAAGGAACCACACCAAGCCCATCCTCTGCAGGCAGCTGGGCCTTCTACCCACTTCAACTTCCTCACTCAAGTGGGGAAATTGGAGTCATATACCCAGACTATCAATCTGTTTGAAGCCTCTGCTTCCAAGGGAGGCCCCACCCTAAAGCTGCAGATGAAGTGCACTTCCTCCTCCCTTTGTCAGATGTTTAAGGGAGCCCAGGCATTCTTCTGTAGTTAGCCGGCAGCTGCGCACCAAAGTTCTACAAATTAACTACCAGAGGCCTCCTGACGCTCACCCTTCTTCACAGACGAACTGTATTTTGTCACCAAACAGGAATTCTGTTTCTTGAACAGCTCTGCCATTGAGTAGCTCTCCTGGAGGACCACACGATTTCCCTAACAGAGAACAGGGCTTGGATTAGCATCACTTTGTGTTATGATGCTAGGACAGGCTCACCAACAGAGAGAAGGGGGAAACTGCCCAGGACTCCTGGTTGCAGGTACTGCAACAATGGCTAGAGACCCGGCCCTTTCAATTGCCGCCAGAGTGCCTGATGGCACTGAACGGCTAGGGGGGAGGCTAGCATCTGCCTCACCTCTTCTGCCCGAGGCTCCACTGCTTCTGCGAGCACAGACCCCCTACCCTCACACAAGGGAACCAACAAAATGGCTAACAACAGAGCTAATGTTCTTGGGAAGGCTACATCTGCACACTGAGGGTAGGTCTAGACTAGTCTTTTGTCCGAAAAAGCTACACAAAATGCGCCCCAAAATATACGTAGCTTTTTCCAACAGCTTTTCTGGAAAAGTCTCCTCTCTGGGTGGAGCCCTTATTCCTCATAGAACAAGGTACACAGAGCTCTCTGAAAGAACACGTTTGCTCTGCTGGAAAAAAAATGGAAAAGCAAACGTGTTCTCTGGACAGAGCAGAGTTTTTCCAGAATACCGGAAGTATCCTGGAAAAACCCTCCAGTCTAAGTGTACCCTGACTCTCACCACTTACATACAGTTAATGTCACACAGCGACCATGGTGAGAAGCTGTGAGTGTGAGAGTAAAAGCCACACATGATTAAGCCCTACCAGTAGCAACTGAAGGTGCTCAACTCCTTGTAGATTGTACCCTGTACAGCTGGCCAGATCATGTGGGGAGGAAGGGGGGCAGAGGAGGGGGGAAGAGGGGCAGGAGGAGGAAGAGGGTGTAATTATGCAATAAAAATGCTCACTGGAGTCAAGGGTTGAGTGCGAGAAACAGATTTGTTAAAACCACCACCCTTAAAGTTTGACTTAAGTCCCATCATGCTTTTTCAGTTCTTATTTATGCATACTAAATGGACACCCTTTTTTTTTTTTTTGAGTCCTACAGGTTCTTTTATTATTTACTGACAGTGAATTCCCTAGGTTCATCACCGGATCCCTTTCCTGTCATCTATTTCCAGCCTCTGACAATGGCTAGGGACACCATTCCTATCCATCCTGGCTAGTGGTCATTGATGGACCTAACCTCCATGAATTTATCTGGAATATCTCGGTTACCAAGTATTGTGAGGGGAAAAAAAATCCCACTCCATCCATGCCATCAGTTTTTATGATGGCAGACAAGAAACCTTCCGGAGTCCTTAGGGGAAATTTGTTCCCTTCAACTCCACTTTCTTCTACAAGTAATTTACTGTGCTTATACTAGTTGAAGTATATGACGTGAGACGTTTACCATGTTAAGTCAAGACAGACATATTGTATTCATACAGCCAGTGCTAGCCTGGAATTGGACCAGTTTTAAGAGAATTTAACTATTCTGTAGAAATACAGCTATTGCAATTTATCCTAAGGGGAAAACTGGCTAAACAGCTCTTCAAACTAAGTATGAAGCTAGCAAATTGTGAGTCACAGAGATCCCTAATAGTCCTAATTGCAAAAGGTTGGTTTTGCAGATAAAGTGAGACAGAAAAGTTTGCATATATATTACACACACACACAAACTTACTTTTACACAACTCGGGGACTTCTGACCATGTTAAATTTTCAAAACAAGTACTAACAAGCTGCAGTGCAGTGATGTTCTGATATGCAGGGCGACAAGTGTATGTTACATTGATCCCAATAGGATAGTAACTCTTCGTTTCATCTTCTCTACTTAAGGCAGCAAATTTTAACCTCGTGGGAACACCACAGCTACCTAGCAATGAGATAGATATATGATTAGAAAGGTCCAGCCATGAAGATCAGTACAATCGCAGTTTGTTGTAACAACAGAACAAAACTCAGTGATTAGAAAACAAATTACTTTTTTAGCAGTATTTTCTGGAGGTTGCTTATGATTATATTTGGATGCCTTTAGTCAGACTGACCCTATTCTGAATGAGGGCCTAAAACTCAGCACGCAAATTTAGATGACTTTTTGTTCATTTATGTTGTTACTAGCTGGACTTACCCAGCATTGCCTGGGAAACCAGAGGAACAAAATTTAGAAAAACAGAAGCTGGTCCTGACCGCCTCTGGCCACACCGCAGCTGCCAGTGCCTGACATCTGGCCATTACGGCAGACCCTCATGCTTTTCTACTGCTGCATAAAACAAAATCTCTAACTCAAAAAAGAGGCATTGCAATGTTGAGGATCAGAGCTATCTGACTTGGCAAACTTAGATACAAAAGTCACAAAAGAAACTCATGACATGGGAAGAAAACAGACAGTCTTGGAGCCATTAAAAGCACAGTGGAAGGGAGAGCCCCCAAATCACCATGCTGGAAGCATACGGAGGCCCCTCTTCAACAGTGAAATGTTTTTCTTCCTATCAGATGGTATTTTTGCAATCCAGCCCCCCCCCAATCCTGTCCTCCATCTATGCACCCCCCCCCATGGTCCAGCCCCCCCATCCTGCCCTCCAACACTTGCTC